ATCAATTTCAAAAGAGCACACTGCAATGGATACCAACAAAATGCAGCAGACAGATGTTTCAAGAACACAAAAATCTTTAAAATAATTTGTGAATTACAAAAGTCAGAATGGTAAAGTGGTAAGATTGATGATACATCAGTGGAAAAAAAAAACAATGGACATGCTGCTACATATGTTCATACTAAATGATGGTAGCATTATAATTTGAGACAATTTTCATCTAAGCTTGTAAGACTAATCAATTTCTAAAGAGCACACTGCAATGCATACCTACAAAATGCAGAGTCAGTTATTTGAACAACAAAAATATCATTAGAATAGCCTTAAAATTAATAAATAAAGATCTAAATATGAAAATGCACAATCATAACTACTAACCAATGCAAATTACAGAAGTAAGAGCTGAGAAACTGATTATAATCCAATAGACTTGGATGTGTATCACAATAACTTTGTTACCTTGATTTTGCTTACACCATGCGTGTGTTAGGCAATGAATGTTGGTCCGGGAAACTTGTTGGAGCTATTATAGCTCATGAATTGTTTATCGTAATCATCCCATAACGCAGCCTCAATAATATTTCTAGCTCCATCTCTTAGAGTGATGTTGGCACATGATTTCTTACCACCATCGCCCATTTGCGTCTTAACAACATCTTGTAAAACCCCGATGACATCTGTAATATATGAAAATGAGAAAAAGTGACAGTGTTTTCATATGTATCATATGTAGTTAGATCAATATGCATTTAGTATGACAAATAGATATATACACCATATGTATAATATGAATACGTCTCACCATATAAGAGATTAGTGATAAAATTTCCAGTGAGAAAGTCGACAACCGGCTTAAACTTGTATTGGTGTGTCGGTATTTCGGGTATTGGCAATTTTGAAACAGTCGTTCCTCCATTGAAGACAAGTTTCAACTTGTTGGGGAAAACTTGGAAGTGCCATCATTAGGCATTGGCTCTCCATTGTAAAGGCAATAAGTGTCATGTTCAGTTAGTTGTTCAGACCAGTCTTTAAACTCACGGTTCCGAGTTGTGACATGGATTTGATCACCCTACAAAATGGGTAAACATTCAAGGAAATGAACAATAATAATATAGAAACAGAGCAGGTAATGATTACCTGTGAATCTTGAATCACCATTTCAAAATGATGCAGTCCACTTTTCTCCTTCACAGTCCAAAGATCAACAACTCTAGTGAGCATTTTCCAAACTTGTTTCCCTTTCTCCAAGTCCTTGATGAGTATTGGGGGTCTTGACATGGTTGCTTAGAAACATAACAGAAAATAAATTGCTCAGGTGAATGAACATTAATCAGTATTCATATACCTTACAACTTCACAACTGCTTAAATAATTTCTATGTAAGCAGAAACAATATATTAATGAAAACATGTTCTCATGAAAACAACATGCATATTTAATAGTGTAAACCAAAGAACTTACAATGTATGCATATTTGTGAGTTGATACTTGAATATATGTATGAATATCAACAATATACAACATAAAAATGAGTTGGTACATGTAAAACAACAATGTCAATTTGCAAAACTGCATCACCTGATCTAGAAAAACGCATGACAGGAATTCATTTTGATTATCGGTAACATTAAAACAACAAAAAATGAGAAAAAACCGAACCAGAAGAGTTTGATGATAGCAGAAGTTTGATGATGTTTGTGGGGAGGAGGGGAAAAAATCGTGTGAGTAGATGCAACATAAACATAAAAATCGTTTGATGATGTTTGACAGAAGTATCTATGGGTAACTCAAGGTTCAGATGTTTGTGGGGAGGAGGGGAAAAAAGTTGTGTTGCATCCTATAGACAGTTGACAGATGGCAACAGAAGAGGGCTATGAAAGAGATTAATTTTGTCATTTAGTTAATTCTTGTTGTACCAATATGAAGGATAACTTATTTTAAAGGAAATGGCAGTTAAGTAAAGTTGGGCAATGTGTTTTTGAAGTGTTGATAGTTGATGAGGATAGAAAATCAGATCCAGAAGAGTGGCATGTGGCATAGAGCATTGACTTTTAGATACGGCGGAATGGTGATTTTTTGAATTTAAATGCTGAAATTGGTTCACCATGGTGAAAAGATATATGTAACTTAGATATAGTTGTCATAGACCCACCCGTTGTCATGTATAAAACTTGCAATCCCTATATTTTCATTGATAAGAATTTCAATAATCAAAGAGGCTAATTATATTCCAATACAAGTTCCTTACACCTTCTGCACAAGTTAATCAAAGTTAACATTACTTTCAAGAAGTAACTTTATATATAAAAAAAAAAATGCATGTTCTTTTCCTTAAACATGAACACTATGTATAAACATGATGGACAACTATTCAGAAGATCCACAACCCTTGTACTGATATAAACAAACAAATAAATAAAATTATGTGTTGTTCTTTACGGAACCTGGAAGACAAGTATCTGGTGTATTGTTAACAAACGTTGTACTTTTGTAATAAAGATGATCCACAATGACTTATATGAAGTTGTATTTGATCTGAATTGAACAACTCGAGTCGAACTAGGTCACCCGTCTGACATCAGTTCGCGTCTCAACCGTCAGTACTTACATAACTTGACGATTCTAGCTTGTGACGACCACCTTGGGCCAGATGATGTAAGTTATTTACCTTTAATTTTTCTAACTTATATGCATAAACTTGTATATCTCTGTCTAACTTATTTGTCCACCTTTATTGTAGTTTGTCTGGATGCCGTACGAGGGTCTCGACCACCAGCCCGACCCCAATGATGTTGCTGTGTGGACATCAAGAACACTCATGATTAGGTTCACTACGGTGGAGATGCACCAAAGTGACCGGGTAAAGTTACAATTTGGGATGCATCAGGATATTCCAGATGCTCCGGTAGAATTGGGGCAGTGGCATCAAAAGCGATTGGACTCGCAGTGGAGTGTCAGTAATTGGAAGGAGTTTGTGAAGGAGTTGTGTAAACACTGGAAGATAAGAAGGAAGCACGTCTTGACCGACCATATTGTGCACGGGGCTAGGCCAAGTCTTCAATACATGACTTGGTTTAGGTCTGTCACGACATCTCAGTCTTTTCTGTCCGAGCCAACCTATTTGGTTGACCCAAAGCAATGCGCTTCTTCGTCCAACACACAACAACAGTCCAGTGCCCAAAATCAGCCTTACCATAACCCATACATGCCACCAGATGCCCCCATCAACACCAACATCCTTACCATGATCCTTACATGCCACCCACCCAGTCTCAGCCTCAACCACCAAACGATTATAGCCCTGATACGTCTTTTGAGCCTACCCCTTCCACCTATAGCCCAGACAACTCATTTGACCCTACCCCCTCCAACTACCCCTCCAACTACCCTTCCAACTACCCACTATTTGACTACCACACCCCACAACAACCAACACACCATTCCAACCCAATTCGATGTACGAATTCGGACAACCATACCGTCCATACTCCACCCAATCTCCCCGACAATCCTACGAAAACATGGGTATTGGGTTAAACTACGGCAACGCCGTTGATAGTGGACCTCCTGGCTATTGGGGTCAAATGCTGCAAAATCTATCTAATACGCCGAGGCCTTCCCAACAAAACTCTCCTCCACAACTCAACACACAACGACCAGACACACCACAACAACCTCGTCGTAGACCTCGTCGCAACACGCATCCCCCGCAGTGTGGCACTGGTGGTCGCTTGGATAGAGCCGACCATTAGTTTTTTTTTGTTGTTGTAATTTTCATTATATTGTAAATTAATATTTTTTAATATTTTTTACATTTCTATATTATTTTAAGGTTATTTAAATTTCAATTCATTATGAAAAACAAACAACATAATTTATTAACAAATATTTATTAATAGGTAATTAAAATATTTATAATTTTAATAACAAACTTAATGTTATTAATATTTAAATATGTATTTAAATATTTGCATAAATTGAATATTTGCATAAATTGAATATGTATTTAAATATTTGCATAAATTTTAATATTTATTAATATGTTATTTAAATATTTACATAAATTAAAACATTTAATGAATGTATTTAACATTTTTTTATAGAAAATATTCATAAAACAATAATTAAAATTGGAAATTAAAAAACCAGAAACATGAAAACCCTAACTTACAACTAAGTGGCCATTCCAGATGGCGATGTTGTTTATTTTTCTTCCCTGTCGCCAATTGCAACGGCAATTTTATGCAATGCCAATTCTGAATGCAACACTGTCGCCATTTGGTCCAGCGACAGTCTGTTGAATGTTTGTCACTTTCGTCAATCTTTTGAATGTTTTGTTTTTTTGGTAACTACAATCCAATACATGGTTAATTTAAAAAGAAAATCAGATCCAGAAGAGTGGCATGTGGCATAGAGCATTGACTTTTAGATATGGTGGAATGATGATTTTTTGAATTTAAATGCTGAAATTGGTTCACCATGGTGAAAAGATATCTGTAACTTAGATATAGTTGTCATAGACTATACCGGAGAGTACTCAGATAAAGAGAGTATAATGTAATGAAGTTGGAAAATAGGACAACGACTAATGTTTGGTGATCAAAGTTAACATTACTTTCAAGAAGTAACTTTATATATAATAAAAAAATGCATGTTCTTTTCCTTAAACATGAACACTATGTATAAACATGATGGACACTATTCAGAAGATCCACAACCCGTTTACTGATATAAACAAACAAACAAATAAAATTATGTGTTGTTCTTTACGGAACCTGGAAGACAAGTATCTGGTGTAATAAAGATGATCTGTATTTGATCTGAATTGAACAACTCGAGCCGAACTAGGTCACCCGCCCGACATCAGTTCGCGTCTCAACTGTCAGTATTTACATAACTTGACGATTCTAGCTTGTGATGGAAAACCAAAGGGCCGGTGTAAAGATTTGAGAAACTTTGTTTTTCATGTAAGATCTTGTTGCGTCCGGTATAAAACCGAATTAATATTTGAACGAATCCAAAAAAAGTCCCAAGGTAAGACCAGCTTTCCAATAATTAAACACTGAGATTAACCTTTTGATAACTAAAGGAAGAGAAGAACTATACATGAGAGCACCAATCCCTTCCACAACAACAACAGCTAAGCCCGCCGATAGAATATCCCAATCCCCCGTTTGTCCAATAACCGTGGAAAACGCGGTCGCGCAATAAAATCCAACCAAGAAGAAAAGAAGCTTCACGGGAAGATTTTTCTTTACCTTGTCAATTTTAGAACTTAATTTAGTTCGAAACTCTTGAATCACTCTGATTATACGCGTCCTTCCGTTAGTTCCGTTCGACGGACTAAAACTGCTGTCGTTTACGCTGCTTCTGACCGACCAACTCATCTTCCTGAAAAGAAATAAAAACAATTCAATTTTCCAAGAAACGTTCACACTTCTCTCACTATCATCTCATAAGCATTAACTTCTACCAACTTACTTGAAACCGACGATTAAACACGGTTGAGCAAAACTATAGGAGACGCCGCACCGGTTCTGGCCGAATGCAGTTTTGTAAAAGAACGCAGCGAGACCAACTTCAGAAACTCTCGAACTTATGTAGGACATGGATATAACTTTCGCACTTGTCATACAATTGGATAACATCGTTCTAGTCGGAAACTGTATGTAAAGTCCTCACTCCTAGAGAATTGAGACAACAATAAACACAATATCTACTCTCAGATACTAAAAATGACTACACTACGAGTGCAACCGCGAACAACTAAAATACGCTCGGGAGCGTCTTAGTTTTTCGCGGTTACACAAGCTCATAGTAGAACCAAACCAATAAACATAACATAACAATTAACAACTAATCCAATTTCTACCAAATCTGTGACTCTAAATATACACAAAAATTAAGAAACCAATCAGGGTTATGTGAATTGTCGATAAAAACATCCTATTAAAATACCCTAATGATAAAAAAAAAAACTGAAATTTAGAATGAAATGAAACGGAAATGATTGAAACATGAAGATAAGGGTTGAAAGTGAAGTTTGAAGAAAACTTACTGTGTGTTAGTGGGAAGTTGGAGAAGAAAGGGGTTGTTTGTTGCTTTGTTGGGTTTGTTCTTGTTTTGACGAAACCATTGTTGGGTGAATATTGTTATTTATTCCGAAGGAAAACATAGTCATCTGTTTGTGAAGTGAGTTTTTGTGTGTCGAATGTTGTTGCTCTTGCGTGTGTTTGTGTGCGGCGGGTGTGTTTGGGACTTTTGGTGTCCAATGTCGATCTGTACTAGAAAATGATGATGGCCTTTCATAACGCTTTGTTTTTTTTTATTTTTATTAAAAATATAATATATCATTTATTTAAAATTAATATTAAAAATGATAATAATTTATGAAATTAATTAGTATCTATACTCATCGGTCCTTATAGGCTAAGTTTGTGGACAACCTTAGAGCTATATATCAAAAGAAATGTCTAAGTTTGTGGACAACCTTAGAAATATATTTCAAATGTCTAAGTTTGTTGACAACCTTAGAGCTATATATCAAAAGAAAGATGAATCTCTGTGAAATTACATTGATGGATTCAACAAAGAAGTTGTCATAGTGAAGGGTGCAAATGATATGATTATGAGGTAATAAAGAGGTTGTTCTAATGAAGGGTACAAATGATAAGATGATGAGGTACATATTTCACCAAGGGCTTCATAAGGTGTTGGCGGGGCATTTCGACGACAAGTTTTCATTTGAAATATAAGTGAAAATCAAGTTTTCTTGAGTTTTTGCTGACTTCGACCGGAGCTTGTGAGAAGCTTAGTCGAAGTAGTCTCCATGAAGGGGATGTTTGGACAATACTTAGAAATATTTTTTCTAAGTCTAGAAAGTCATTTCGACGGGGGTGTTTGAAGCCTTTTTTTGTCAAAAGATTTGAATTTCAAAACACGGATAAATAATTGTCTTTTGTTGTTATCTGTTTCTCAAGAGAGACGCGTAGCGAACTATGGCGAAATGAAAGCATGCAGGACGAAACATGTCAGTTTTTAGAAAAATGTCTGTTGAAGACAGTTATTTTGACTTATTATAAATAGGAGTCTTAGTGTTAAGATTTTTGGGTTTTCATTTGTTGTACAATACTTAAAATTTACTCAAAGTATCTAATTCAAGTGAGAAAAGAGTTACTATTGAGAATGTACGTGTGAAACACCACATTTTATTTCATTTCAATAGAAATATACTTTTATTTATCAATTGTTCTTTACTGCACTTTTACTTTCAAGTTCTTTTCTTCATTACATTATCTTTATCAAACTTTTACAAAGTTTATCTTTTCCAAAAACAACCAAAATAACCTTTTATACAAATGAATATTGTCGAAGTGTTCATCAATTTTCCAAAAGTATATTGAGACAATAGCTAAGTCCTTAATATTCACTGGTTGATCCTACAAGTAAACCAATTTTTTGGAAGACCATCGGTTGTTTACCAATTTCCACGGTAAACAAATTGGCACGCCCAGTGGGACAGTGCTATTGTGTCAAAGTATTTTCTTGTTTTTACAATTTTTGCATTAAAGTTCTTCATTTTTATCTCACCATACTTTGTTGCATGAGACTTAGGAATGGTATAATAGCCACAAATAACGAAGAGAGACCAAGGAGAAGATACGTAAGGAAAATGGTGAATCCAAATTCACCAAACAACCAAAATAGTGAAGAATCACCCCCTTCTTCTTTGACAGGGGGCAGTACGGTTCTAGCGTCAGCGTATGAAGTCATACCTTTTACAGAAAGTTTGACTCCTGTGCAGTCGATTGCCCAGAGTGGTCCCATTTTATCCTATGTGGGAACACAGGGTCCATCAGGGACCCCCCTCCAGTGAGGAATAATGAATTTAGGCCTTATGTGCATGCGTTCTCAATACCTCCAATAGGACGTGAACATCCATATGGTATGCCAACATCAGTGATGGCAAGTTTACATAATGCGTCATCAATGTTCTTAGAACCAGTGGTGAATGTAACTTCTTCATTACAAGGATCTGATTCAGGTGTTAATAATAATATGGTCTGAATTAGTCAGCCCTTAGGGACAAGATTTCCTATCCAGATGCCTAATATTACTAACAATTCTGCAGCAGTGATAAGTAACAGATGGTCGAAAGTAATCATGAAAAGGTTCAGATGCTTGCCCAACAGATGGATGTCATATTCAATCCCTTAATCCGAAATACTACCCAAACGAACCAACAATTGGCAGTGCAAATGACGCGCATTGTTGATTTCTTTGGTGTCCATCAACCCCTTCGACAACCCCAAAGAGAATGGGTAAGAGAAAATCCAGGGTTAGTCTTAGAAGAAAACCCCACAATCAACCAAGTTCTACGAAATGTGCCCCAGGCGAATATATTGAACCAGGGGGCAGGAGTCGAACCACCTAGGGTCGAAACTCCTAGGATTGAACAACCAATCCCAATAGAACCAAAGGTAGTAATGGTAAATAAAAATAAGAATGTTGATGAAGTTATAAATCAGGTTTGACACGATGATATGGTAGCAGATAATAATCTGGCAGCTATGGTCAAAAGAATTATGGCTAGGAATGGGGTGAATATTGGCATTCACAGGCCAAATTATACTTCACTATTATCTGAATACATCTTACAGTCAGACTTACCCTCTAGATGGAAAGTCCCTAAATTTACTAAGTTTTCTAGGGATACTAGTGAGTCCACAGTCGAGCATGTGGCAAGATACCTGATAGAGTCAGACAAAATTGCTAATAATGAAAACTTAAGAGTAAAATATTTCCCAAGTTCACTTACCAAAAATGCCTTTACTTGGTTTACCATACTGCCAACAAATTTTATCCATAATTGGACTCAATTTGAGAGATTGTTCCATGAACATTTCTATATGAGACAATCGAAGATAAGTTTGAAAGAATTGGCTAGCATTAAAAGGAACTTCTTAGAGCCAATAGACAATTATTTGAACAGGTTTCGACTGCTTAAGGCAAGGTGTTTTACGCAAGTGCCTGAGCATGAGTCGGTCGAAATGGTCGCTGATGGCCTTGACTACTCAATTAGAAAGAAGCTGGAACCTAATACCTGAGAGATATGACCTAATTGGTTGATAGAGTTTGACAGGTAGAACGCCTGAAGGCTAAGAAAGCTAGAGCAAACTGTCATACCCTAAATTTGTCCTACCCTTTTGTAAATATTTTCGCATTTTTTTTGTTTCATGCCGTTTAGACACGTGTCCACCTGAAATTGGGCATTTTTCAAATTTTTATCCAGTTCATCCAATAAAAGTGTGGCACGTAGCCTGAAGAGGGCATTTTGGTCATTTTACTTTCATTTTCATTCTTTTTTTTTATTCTCCTTTTTGTTATTTTTTTATCACTTATTTTTCATTAGATATAGATTTATTTATTTGAATAGCTTGTATTATTCTTTAGGTAGATACTTTTCTTTTTGAGTTAATATTAGGTTTAATTTGCTTTTATTTAATATTTATAGAATAGAATATTTCTTTTCTTTTAAAATAGAGTTCATTATGTTTTTTAAAATTAAACTTCTTTTATGTATAGTTGTTAAAGTTTTTATTTAATTAGATTAATAGTAGTAATTATCTTTCTTTATGTAGGTTAATATTTAGGATTTTAGTTAATTAGATTTTCTTTAAATATATTAGTTTCTATTTATTTATTTATTTTTTCGTTTTATTCTTTTATTTAAATTATTAATAATTATCTTTCTTTTATTTTCAAGATTTGATTTAATTAGGTTTAGATTTTTTTTATTAATTAATCAGGCTTGGTTTTATTTGAGTGTTCATGTTTTATTAAAACAGCATTAATTATTTGTCAATTTCAATGAGGTCAGTTTTTTTTATTATTATTAATTCATTTTCAATCAGTTTCCAATGGGTTATTAAGTCTGGTCCACCAGTCAATTCGTGCAGGCCCATTAGGGCAGATTATGCCACTTGTCAGCAGGCTATAAAGCTTGGTGTCTGGCTGCATTAATGACACACTGCCCAAGACTGAAACCTCAGCCGCCGCCACCTAACCCTAATAGTAACCCTAACCCTCACAGTAACCCTAACCCTAAATCCATGCAAACACCAACTTTGCTCGCCGGACAAATCACCACAGATCAAACTCGCCGGAAATACTCGCCGGTAAATTCATGAACATCACCAGAAAACTCAAACCTTCATATCATCTTCATACTATTTTCCAGAAACTCGCCCATACTCACCAACCTTCATGATGTTCTTCACGTCTTCATCATCCGTTTCCAGAATTTCCCAGCAATGTTCATACATCCATATTCTATTTTCCAGATTTGTTTGAATATTCTTCGAACTTCATCATGTCATACAACATTTTTCCAGAAAATTATAAAAATCTTCATCCCAACCTTCAAACCTTCATCCCGTTCTCCAGAAACCCATCCATATTCATCACCTTCATCAATTTCCAGAAAACATTCTTCAAACATTCATACATAAATTCCCAGAAACACTACAATGTTCAAATTTTCATTGTGGTCATGTGAAATCCACCAGATCCAAACACTAGATCACCATATCAAACAACAAAATTCCAGATCTGCACTCACAACACCATCATACGAACATCAATTATT